CAGTCCAAGAATTGGAACTCTCATTATACTCTTTTTACATATGAGGAGAACGAGGCATATAAGATATTGAAAAACTGAAACCCTGCCCAGGGCATGGCAAGGCCGAGGGCTGAACTCAGGCGTGATTCAACACCTTTTGTTCTTAACTATTTTGCAATAATGCCATGCCATGTACCCCCTGCTCATCCTATAGAAAACCACTTACTAGTGCCTGATTATGTCATGCTTTTGTCTGTCCTTATATCTTAAATGAAATCTACAGAGCTTTCAAGATCCACTTCAGATGTGGGTTCCTCTATAAAGAGCCTTTTTCAACCCAAGTTGATAGCTTTTCCTTCCTCAGCACACCCATAGCACTCCCAGTATTTCTTTGTGTACTTCTTTGTAATATTTATTACCTTGTAGTTAGCTACTTGTTCTCATTTATGTCTTAACCATGGCTTACCAGCTCCTAGAGAGCAAACACTGATTTGGCTTAGTATTTCTAGTGATTGGCACATTAAAGGCTCCTGATAAATGTTGACTTGGAAAACCATAAGCAAGGTAATATTTTGTTTGCATGTACAATGTAATCATTGAAGAGCTTCACACATTTGCCTAAGCTACTTGTATATATCTAAACCTTGGCAATATTAGAGTAAGCTTTCTCAACGCAGGTATAAACACTGAATTGCTGCTTCCAATTGACTGAGAAATAAAATGTGTCTTCCCAACCCTGAAATACTTGGCCAATGACAAAATTTGAATCTGGACTAGGCCATGTCACTTAGTGATGCACAGTTAAAAATTTTTAATAAAGGGGCCGGCCTGGTGGCACACTGCTACAGTGCGCCACTTGGGAGCACGGCAGCGCTCCCGCCAAGGGTTCGGATCCCACATACAGACCGGTTCCTGCTCACTGGCTGAGCGAGGTGCGGGCGCGACACCGAGGGTTGCAATCCCGTTGCCGGTCCCGGCCCGGTACGGGCGCGACACTGAGGGTTGCGATCCATTGCCGGACACAAAAAAAGACAAAAAGGAAAAAAAAAATTTTAATAAAAACCCAGGAACATACAGTCAAATGTCAATAATATTTAAAAGTCTAAAATGTTTTTAAACAAAGTAGATGGTATGGTAAAATCATCTATATATTAGTCTCTACTAATTGTATAGTGCAACAGGGAATACCAACTACAAAAGTCAGGCATCAACTGAATGAAAAACAATATTTATTCTCTGAGTTAATTTTAAAATTATACCATGTAAGTGACTAATATTCTCTGTTGATATAGTTCTAATATGCCAAATAATGGATTCTTTCCCAGACCGTTTATAAATTTGTTTAAGGATGAAAAAGCTGTTATTTGGCAAGGATAACAAATGAGCATTTAGCTTCCTACTAATAAAAGGCATCCATTTATTAGTATTAATAAACATGTTTCTAAATTTCAAAACAAATTTTCAAGATCAAATTATAATTCAAAAGATTTTGTAGTATCTGTTGTGAGTCAAAAGTTGGAAACGAAAATAATAAAAACTCTTTCTTATAAGAAATAAGTATGCATATTGATAAACTGAAGGTCTCTCTAGTTGAAAAATAATTGGCTTTGATTATTTTTTAATATATACACAATTAGTAACTAGTACCAGCTTGACAGTTAATAGAAGAAATAACTGCTATTTGTATGACATTTATTAGTAAGCTAGTAAAGAGGATAGATAAATATTTTTGGAACTGAAAATAGATAAATATTTTTGGAACTGAAAAAATCGGGGATACTTAATGTGTAAAGATACTGCAGATGGTTACAACAGCTAAATCCCTGTTTTTATTTTCACTCATTTGTTCATATATTTTTTGAGCATCTATATATGTACTTTGCTAGTATCTGGGAATAAAACAGTAAGCTAACATAAATGAATTGCATTCTAGTGATAGACAGATAACAATCAAATAAGAATAGTGATAAATATCTAATAATAAATAAGGGAAAGGAACAGAGTTTTATAGTCTATATTTCAAAGGTCCCTGAATTGGCTTCAGGGAAGGTTTATCAGAGAATGTTATACTTGAGTAGGGTTCTGAAGGATGAGTAGGAGTGTGTTAGGTGAAAAATGTTGACAAGTGAAAAGAGGGCCGGCCCCGTGGCTCACTCAGGAAAGTGCGGCGCTGGTAGCACCGAGGCTGCGGGTTTGGATCCTATATAGGGATGGCCGGTGCACTCACTGGCTGAGCGTGGTGCAGACGACACCGTGCCAAGGGTTGCAATCCCATTACTGGTCAAAAAAAAAAAAAAGAGTGAAAAGAGTGAGTTTTCCAGGCAAAGGGAACAGCATCAACATGACCCTGTGACAGAAGGGGCTGGGATGTAGAGAGGTGGTGTGATACAAGAGTCCAGAGAGGATGGGCTAAGGTAGACCAAAAGAAGGTCTTATAGGACATTTGATGGATTCTGGTCTTACTCCTAAAAACGTGGAAGACAGGTAATGGATTTAAACTGGAGGGTGATATTATCAGATTTGCCTATTAAAAAGACCATCTATCATCAATCACAGGAGCAGAGAAGAATACAAAAGCAGTTAGGAGAAGGGACAAGATGGTGGGGCTTAGATTAAGGTAATGGTTGTCAATAAATTCAAGACACATTTAGGATTCAAGTCAATAGAGCCTGGTGGAAGGTGGATATGGAGTTGAGGAGGTGGTGCCACTCCCTGAAACAGATGATACCAGAAGAAGGCCAGGTCTGGGGAAAGATTACGAGAGTCTTGGATATGTTGAGGTGCCTTTCAGAGGTGAAGATATCCAATGTGAGTTATCTAGACGGATCTCAGAGAGGAATCCAAGTCTATGAGTGCAAAACACATAGAATAAGGACTAGGCAGTGAGTTTTTCGTGAATATATAGAATTACTTTGGAAAGGAATGCCAGATCAAAAGAAAAAAAATAGTTGTAAATTGAGACAAGCCTAACACAGTAAAAATATTTTATAACACTAATACTAGGAAAACAATAATGGTTTTTAGGAGCATTAGAAATAGTTAGAGAGCCAGCCCGGTGGCGCACTGCTATAGTGCGCCGCTTGGGAAGCACGGTGGCGCTCCCGCCGAGGATTCGGATCCCACATACAGACCGGCCGCTCACTGGCTGAGCGAGGGGCGGGAGCGACACCGAGGGTTGCAATCCCGTGGCCGGTCCCGGTCCGGTACGGGCGCGACACTGAGGGTTGCGATCCGTTGCCAGTCACGAAAAAAAAAAAAGAAATAGAGCTGGGGTTTAGTTGGAAAAAACAGCATTGAGCCAAAACAAAAGAGCAGAGTCAAAATTCCAGGTCCTTGGAACCAATCACTCTTTTAGGAAGACGTAGTTGAGTTATAGGTGAGGAAGGATCAGTGTGAAACAAAAAAGATATAAACCTTTGAAGTGAAAGGGTGGGATGAAGGAAGCAGGTGGAGATTATGAAGTTTTCCCCTTATTAAGATAACTATAGTAAGTTACCCTCAAAAGTTTCTACCAGAAGTAGCCAGGTTACTCCATGCCATCTTGGCACTGACACAGGAGCATGTGCAAGGCCACTTAGTTTCACTATAAAAGGACTTTTAAGTAAGCTCATGTCAAAGCAAAAATCAGATATTAATTTTAATGAAGTTATGAGTAGTCAAATAGAGACATCTTTAGATTATACCAAAACAAATTTATACTCGCACTTTAATAAGAAATGAAAACCATAAACAAGTTATGATTTTACTAGAGCAGCAAAAATAAAAGAAAAAAAAGACAAAAGCAAAATTTGATCTAGGTTTCTAGTTCTTAGACATAAATAACTATCTCAAGTCTTCAGAATGTCTAAATTTGATTTTTGGTATTCCAACTGAAATTTCCCTTAGACTCTGAACGTTTAGCTTCATGATTTTTTGACACAGTTAGGTGGAATTTGGTCTTTCTTAAATGTCACATGTTCCTTAGAATTTGAGAAAGAAACAAAGCCCTACACCCCACTCCCTTCTTTGTTAGAAAGCCAAGACATGCATTATTTAATTCCATCTTGGCTTCAGAAGCTTCACTTTTTTCTGCATTGCAAGAGTGAATTATTATTATTGGGAAAAAAGGTGTTTGACATGCAGTATGTAGCAAAGTATGTAGATCTATGTAAAAAATTGAAATAACTACAAAATAATCACTTTTACTTTTAATAGCTGTAAGGTAGATTGAGAGCATTCTGTGGAAGCCATGTCTAAGAATACAGATCAGGTAGTTACTGATCCTTTCTGGTTCTAGTCCTTAATTTTTTTTCAAATATCTTTCATGGCAAAACTACTCACTTGTATACTGGTTCAAAGGAAAAATAAACTCACTAGAAAATTCAAGACTATGCCAAAATCTTTATCAATGTTCACTCCACAAGGAGTAAACAAAATAAAGCTTGAGAAAATAAAAGTGGTGTCAATTGATATAATATACACGCTTTTAAAAAATTTTCCCAATGATAAGTTGAAGACCAGTTTTAGGATACTTACTGAGCATCAAGTTGTTTAAGAATGAATCAATAAACTTATGTACAATACAGAAAGGATAAGTAGTCCGAATATTGGGGGTATAAGGTCTGGAAGATTTGTTGGCAACTACCTTGTTTAGGCTTCAATACTACCAGGATGTTTAATTGTCTTTTTCTAACAAAAAAACTTTCAGATGCCTGTGTTCCGCATTCAGACTACTTCAGTGACAAGACAATGTCCAACGGTGAAAAAATATGATATGAATATATTGTAACATAATAGAAACAATCCTGAACTTATATGATATTTCAAATATCATATTTCAGACAGCATGTTTACTTTTGATTAACAACCAAGAAGAGCACTCTTCATGTATTTAACAAAGGTAGTATTAATGCATCAAAAATATTTCTTAAATATTGTAAATGGAGCCACAAAACCTCAACATGAAAAGTCCTATCCTGGAGTTCTACTTAGCTAGAATTAGATCTGTATTCTCAGCAGCAAGCAAGAGACTCAGAAAATACTAACTTTAATTACAAACTTTATTTGTCAATACAATTCACAGTTTATACATGGCGCATTCCACCATATGAACTTTCAGAACAGTTATTGAGAAAATGGGTGTAGCTTTCTTTCTAAAAGAGCCTGACTTTCTAAAAGTTTGGTTAGAATGTTTTAAGTTTATAAAAGTACCTTCAACAAGTTAACTGAATATTTACATTTCTAGCTTAAATTTAAATTTTGGAAAATAAGTATCTATTAGTTTGTTTGTCTTTTAAGATCCTGGGTTTCTTTTTGAAGACTCTAATCCGAATGCCTCTTATTCAGACATACACCCCTCAAAAGTAAAAACAAACAAAAAAACCAGTTTTGCAATTATATTTATGGAAATCATCTTCTTTCTGCATTTTAAAAATTATATATATTTATAAAATGTACAGCAGATCTAAGTATGAAAATAAAGGAAAGGGTAGCAATTTATTGGGCGCATTTACCGAATTTTTTTCTGAATCTTGGAAATATCCAAAGAATTGCAGGATATAAAATTAAACTAAAAAGAATTATCAGCCTTTTCTATCTTAAAAAAAAAAGACTCTCAAGATTTAAATTGTGCTTTAACAGCTTTTTCTCTAATGCCAGAGATGAATTATGCCTGCAATCTGCATTTTTCCAAGTGCAAAATCACAGTGATCCCAGTTTCAACTTCTGCTTTTCACACCTGGTTACAACTTCAAAGGAACACCTAGGGAAGGCTAGGACTGTGTCCTCCTCTCACGGCTGCATCACCTCCCCTCATCTGGCAAAAGTCACCCAGGGAAAGAAAATTACATAAGCCTTTTATACATCCAAAAGCAAATAATTGCTGGCAGTATGTTTATTAGCAAATGCTCGTTTTGCTATTTTCTTTTTATCAGAATGGTAATTCACACCAACTGTTTCAAATCTCTTCCAGGAATATCCATTTTTAACATCTTTCTTTTGTCAGATCATTTTTATATGTGGGTTTTCTTCTTCTGCCTTTAAAAGATGTATGCTTATTAATAAATGATAAATTCCAAATACTGCCAGGAAAAAGGGACTACTTGGGAGCGGCCAATTTTACTGGCCTGGTAATAATTACACAGTATTAATGTACCATTGGTACCTGAGTCAAATAAATACTCAGAGGGGCCATCTCTGCACCTCTTTCTCTGCAGTGCCTTTAACGCGAGGCAACGCTGAGTGCTGCTTAGATGTCCATCTAATTTGGCATCTATTCCTTCTTCGCACATCATCACTTCCAGCATTTTACACACTGTTTCTAGCAAGGTATGGTATCTAAAAGGGAGTACTGAGGAAAAGACTGCAGAGGTGAGCCTAGGGGTGAAGGCGGGGAAGGAGAAACCACACATTAGCTAGAGAGGTTCTGTTTCTTTATAAGATAAGGCACTGACAGAAAATTTCTTAGGTAAAAGGCTGCATAAGAATTTCTCGCCATTTACAAAAAGAAATGTTGTCATCCATAAATGGTCCAGATCTAGGCTCAGTTAGGTAGACCCTGAAAAGTTAAGGACTGATCCCTCAAAGCTACATTATTACCAAAAACAATTATAATTCGTTCTGAGGCCTTATGGCACGTTAGGAAAAGAGGGAGGAAAACAGTCTGGGCACAAAAAGGCATCAGACATTGCTTGTCATTCCACTTGCCAGAGACAGTGGACCTTTCAACAAGCGTCATCAGAAAGATAGTGCTGGCTCATAATTCCAAACTCTCCTGATGGCAGATGACTATGACGGGGTATCTATTTGTTTCCCCTTTTGAGCTCATGCACAATTTAAAAAATGCTGCCAGCAACAGTCATGAAGGGCGGGCGTACAGAAGTCCTCGCCTATGGCTACGCCTGGGGCTCTTCACAGAGAGGGCTACTTAATGTTCTCAATGACAGCAATCTCTTCGCCAGCACAGTGTGGCGTCAGACCATTCAAATAGATACTCTCAGTCTTCAGCAAGGGAGGCAAGATGTCCCTCTCGCTGGTCAGGTGGTTCACCGACAGGGTCCTCCTGCAAGGAGTCAGCTCCTGGCTGTGGTTCCCAGCCAGCTCTGCTGAGAGCTTCCGCTTGATGGAGGTGGCGCGCTGGAACTTGTCATAGATCTCTACACTCAGCCGCCTCCTGGTTTCTTTGAATTCGGCTGTGACGTTGGCTGTCCACTCAGCAGCGTGTGCTCTGAACTCTCCCACCTGGAACGTACAGCAGAGAAAAGACAGAGAGATCACATGACACTCAACATTCTGTGTGCTTTATCTTCCGTTCACTTAGAGAGTTTCAAAATGAAAATTGGAGTAACCTTTTGTAATACAGTGGTCTGAGAAATGATGTAATCAGGCAAGTGGTACAAATCACAATTCAATTTTATAAAGATATGGCTCTAAAAATTAATCTAGGAACCTAGACTCTATAATAAATCAAATGATATTTCAGAGGCAATAGCGTGCTTGTTTTTTGTTCACACACCCCATCATTGACAATTTTGATGCTGTAAAAAGGCAATCGCAAACTCTTTAAAAAAACTTTTTGAGTATTTCATTTTATCTTCATGTAATTTCAAAAGGTATTTGGATGTAAAAAAGGCAGTAAGATATAGTCGAAGCAGCAAGGTGGGTTAAAAGGGTCTGGAATATGCACCCAGGTGCCGTGGGTTGGTTCTGATAACAGTGATGCCGTTTGCTCAGGATGTAAACCTAGGTTTTAGAGATCAGAACTTTGTATCCAGTGACATATTGGCCATTTAGGAATTCTCTATTTCCTAAATAAGCAATAAAATATTTTGTTCCTGCTTTCAGGGGAGGCAAATTTTTTTAAAAAGAGAGAACTGGCAAGTCCATTTTCAGGCCGCGTGGGCAATGATGAAGTCCAAGGCATAGTTTCTCGATGAATGTTTGTGGAATTAAGGAAGTTGCTCCACTGTCTGACCTGCCATTTCCTTAGCTGTAGAACAGGCATCTTCACAGTACACACCTAACAGGGCGGCTGGGTAATGTACTTTACAGACTGTAAGAGCCTATGTATTTGTCATCATGTAGTTCTCCTTGCAGGCTCACAAAAGAATAATTTTCCAAGCATACCAGAGTATCTGCTACATGACCTCGAGCCCATCAGAAATCTTCTCTGACCTTTTTGAAAATTATGCCCATATTTTTATGCCCTGAAATGACTATTCCTATGGGAACCTTTACAATCTTCCTCATAATGGACAAGAATTGAATATTCTAGAATATCTCCTAGAATAATCTTCTAATATAGAGAAACTCCTCCACCTCCCTGTACACTTCTGCTTTCGGCTTAGGGAGACTCACTGAACTCATTTCTTCAGTGACATAGGTTTGCCCTTGCCTGGCAAGCACATAACCATAGCTCTGTTTATTTTATTTTTATAGGTTTGTTGAATTTTGTTTTCAACTTTGATACGGAAAATGTAACTGATGGTACCTAAACTTTTATGAGTATCTGAATTACAAGAGGGGGTAGACATGTACACATATTACAAGGTGATGTGTCCATTTACTCAGGTAGCCACAGACATACGTGTGTGTGTGTGTGTGTGTGTGTGTGTGTGTGTGTGTGTGTGTGTGTGTGTGTGTGTGTGTGTGTGTGTGTGTGTGTGTGTGTGTGTGTGTGTGTGTGTGTGTGCACAAACAGAATGGAACCCACAGTTATTCCTGGAGGGTGGCACGTGGCAAATGGATCCTTTCTCATTTATCCATAATCATATGTACACACACATTGATGATATACTCTTTATTTTAAAAGTTCTTTAATTTCCTAGTTGCACTGTCCTAATGAGAAATAATTGCTTGTTATCTGGGTCTGGCTCTGAAAAAAGGAAAGCTGGAAAAATGAGAACTCTGTGGTACATATAATTAACAAGATCAAGCAATTCTTAACTATAGAGGAAACTTAGAGGGAGCTTGCCGGGAAAGAGGTGCTAAATTCATAGCAGTTTAGCCTGGAGATAACTCAGTTCCTATAAGGGTCCCTGTCCAATTATACTTCAATATGGAACAGATTATGATGTGTTGAATTCTGTTGGTGGGAGCTCTCAAGTTGGAAGAGCACAGGCAAGTATCTATCAGGGGTAACAAACACCAAATCAGTCAGATTTTACTCCCTGCAAATTCCATACACACTTTTCAATAAAATCTCTCATAGATTATATTATTTTTCTAATTTTTACCTGTCTTTCTGTTTAAACTAAGAGTTCTCGAGATCAGAGTCCATACTACACTCATATTGGAGTATCTAAAACACGTAGTGTCTGACACAGTGAAAGCACTCAGGAGAAACTCACTGGATTGCATTTAATTAATAAATGAACACCATCTATAAAGTTCATAACACTTTTAATATAAAAAGTTAAGAGATCCAATTGTTTATCTACTATTCAATTTAATTTTAAAGACTTAAAATTTCACCATGCTTAAAGATTGTATTCAAATACAAAAATAAAGAGAAAAAAACTTGATCCATATGGTCTTGAACAAAATAGTTATCATTATCCCACATTACAAATTTCTCCTAGTTTACATTACAAGCAGATATCCTCAGCCGTGTAAAATTGTAGGTTAATAATAAAACAATAATAATTAACAAAAAACTAAAAAATTCTATCTGATCTTTACCCCCACCTTACCAATGATTTTATAAAAAAGGAATTAGCCTGTTCTATTTGAGAATTCATAATTTTCTTAATGCAGAAAGAACAAGTATCAAGACATTTTTTTCCATGATGAACTTTTCCTAGTAATAAAGGTTAATACAATAAAGAAAACAGGAAATAATCTACATTTCTGCTTAAATAAGCGTCTGTGAAAAGTACAAGAATCGGCTACTATATTCAATTTTTTCCCATATACAGGTGGTTAACCAAAAATAATCCCTAGCCTAGAAGATGTCCGTCGGAGTAAGCCTCTAAGTCATGACTCAAGTCTTGGGGCACTGTCAGAACTGACAGAACTAAAACTAGATCTATCCCATCAGCTTTGTTTTGGTTACCAGCCTCCCACCCCACAACCAATCCCCCACAAGCAGAAAAGGTGCTGACCCTCACAGAACCCGCCGCCCCTTTTCTTTGGTAATGGTCTCTTCTTTCTTTTTACTTAAAAAAATGTCTTCTTAAGAGAATTATAAAAGCAATAGACTTTGCCTATCAAAATTCAAATGCTAATCTATTGGCTTGTTAATTTTCTACCTTTTTTGAGTAGACTGTAGGTTTTATGTATATCCACAGCACCTCGCACCTGGTATAGCACACTTCCAATAAATATCTGTTAAATGAATAAACACATCACTGAAAATACATGCACTCTGTGACCTCACGTCTCTGTGACAGTGAGCAATGGTACATGTGCTGCTGTTGTTTTTCTTCTCTCTACACACACTAATCTCACTTTCTTCCTCTTCCATCTTGACTATCGCTAATATTTTTGCAAAAAATGGTCTTATATTAACCACATTATTTTGCAAATGGCTTTTTTCCTCATCCAATTTTAGTATTCTTTCCATGCTAGTACCCATTAATCTAACTCATAGTTTATATCAGCTGCCCAGCTTTCTCCAGCAAGATGGATATGCCAGGATTTCATCATCCCTTATTGATGGATATTCGGGGGGATTTGTTTTCCACTATTAAAAATAACGCATCAGTGAACATTCTTGTACATATATCTTTGCTAATGTGCACAAAGTATTATGTTAAGTGGAAACACTGGGTCAAAAGACATGAATATTTTCTGATGTTGTAGACACTGTGAAATTTCTGTCTGATTTTCTTGGAGAGGCAGAATAACATGCTGGATCTAGGTATCCAAGTTTGAATCCCAGCTCCACTACATATTCACTATGTCTTAAGGTAAGTTTTTTTTAACCTTCCTAGCCTCAGTTTCTCTTGAAATGGGAGAAACAAATGAATCCTCCCCACAATAGATACCAATTAAGTAAAGTAATATTTTAAAAGAACGATGCTAAGCACATGGTAGGAACCATATATATATACAAAATTTCACACAATCCCGTGACATAGACCTGCGTTAGCAGTGAAAATTCTTTTTATTATGGGTGTTTATTGAATATTGTTTTCAGACTCAGGATTCCCAGCAGCCCCAGTATTTCCTTTCTGCACAATGAGGTGTAACCTTTGCCTTTTCATGGCAACCCCCCCCCCCATTATTGGCACCTGCGTAGAAAGCTCTTTAAATATGTTAATCATTTCTGTATTGCAATTTAAACTTAAGTGATCATGATAAATTGGACAAAGAATAAAAACCTTCCTTACACTTGATCTGAATTTTCTTGATAAGAAAGTTTCACAAAGTCACCATGATGTTGGAGGTTGCACTAATGACACACACAAAACTTCTGGTAGCCAAGTGCTTCTACGAGTTAGTGATTCTTGCCAATTAGGAAAAGGCTAGATGAAAGAAAAGCTCAGACTTGTTGGAGTCCATACACTTCTTTAATTTCTTATCTTTAATTGCATTCAGTCTCTGGCAGAGGCTGGTATTTCTGTCTACTTTGGGAAACATGTTTTTTTCTAATTTCTCTACAATTCCCACAATTGGATAAGTAACCTCTGGAGGTCATCAGAGCTTCAGAGAACAGAAATGGGGTGGGCTGAAGGGAGCCTCAAGTTCCAGCTCTATAACCACATCTTAACCTTTTCTGCGCTTCAGATTTCTTATACATAAAATAAGGATAATAACCTATTTCACAGGAGAAACAAGTGAGATACATACATATCTGTGTGAATGTGTTCTTAAAATATACAAGACTGCACAATTAATAACAATAGTTGACAATAAGGTTGGTGATGATAATATGGTTTGCAAAGAGTATTTTAATTACTACAGTATTTCAAAAAGGTCATGGAAAAACTGAATTAAGAGATAATATGAATCCTTCCATGAACTTTTTGAAGATCCCTTGTACTTATTAATTCTAAGGACTAAACATCTTTTGGAGGAATGCAAGGATATATGGAAACCCACTCTATAGCAGGTTACATTAGGGTGAGAATACACTACCCAAATTTCATAAAGATACTGAAAACAAGAATTGACTCAAAAGTGTACACTTGGGTACTCATCTAAAACAACAATTGTATCTATTCCCTCTATTTAGTGCCCTGACTTTTTACCATTATTCATGATACTGAATTTAAGGACCACAACCACTCAAATTGAAA